ATTCAATGTTTAAACGATATTTCGAATTATTAGTCATTTACAAAAAGAAAATAGCAATTATTTGAAAAAAAAAAATTAATGTTGGCGGGATCGAACCCCAGCCGCCGGCGTGCTAGCCGAGCACATTACCGCTAGGATAACGCATTATTACAATAATTAAATTTAATTAGGAGTATATATATTGCAAAAGTATCGTTTTAAAAAATTGCTAATTTTTTAATTTCACTGGATATCTTCTCGATTTTAAAATATTCAGTTTTTAAACGATATTTTGATTGATTTGCCATTAACAAAAAAAAAAAATTGGAATTATTTAAAAAAAAAAAATGAATGATGCCGGGATTGAAACCGGGCCGCCGGCGTGCCAGTCGAGCACGTTACCGCCAGGACAACGCGCTTAATTAAAAATATAAATTCATTAGTGGTATATCTTCAACATATTGAATAATTTTTTCCATTGAAATTTCACAAGATGTGGTTTCCCCCTTCTGTACGTGCTACAGTCGGCTAAATTTCAGTTAAATAAATGAAAAACAAAACGCATTCGTACAGCAGAAAATAAAATTCACCCCGTCGACTTGATGGACACCCCAGCATTGCAATAAAAACTTGGTTAATAAAAAAAAAAAACCCCGGCATTGCGTGTTGCGCCCTCCCTCTCTTGGGGTGCAGTACTACGATGCGCTGGGGTCACTCAAACCCCCAGAACTGAACCTCTATTTTAATCTATTCTATGTGGTTGGGTATATATATATATATTTAATGTATCAAGATCAGTGAAGTCTACAATTCCCGGTGCAAAACAGCTGAGTGCATTGAAATGCATGGGTGCATGCACGTGTGTCTTTTCTATTCTATTCATCGTCTCTGATAACGAGAAATGTAACTCCAAGTCCTCAATGAAAAAACCACACAATGGTGTTCACCTCGACGAGAGTAATCCCCAAGAGGCTGAACATCAGGGTGAACGTCGCGACGTTGATGCTCCTCTCCGTTATCCTCACGGTTTTTTACTTCCTGCTGATGAAGGATTGCAGAAAAATTCAGGAATCCAGAGATAAACCGAAATTTCGATTGATTATTGTCATCCTGACGAGTCCAGATGCCTTGAGGGTGAGGGATGCTATCAGAAAGACTTGGTTAACAGAGGAGACAGAGAACACCAGGCATTTCTTCGTGATAGGGACCCTGGATCTTCAGCAAGAAATGCTGGAGACCTTGGAGTCTGAGCAGGACAAATTCCATGACCTACTGCTGCTTCCTAGGCTGCAGGACTCCTATGGAACACTCACGAAAAAAATTCTCCAGGCCATGCAGCGGCTCCATGAGGACTTCAGCTTTGATTATTTGCTCAAGGTCGATGATGACAGCTTTGTGCTCCTCCACAGAATGCTGACGGATCTTGATGTCTGGGAGGCTAAGGGCTCCAGGAAGGAACTCTACTGGGGATTTTTCAATGGCAGGGCTAATGTCAAGAAGACTGGCCCCTGGAAAGAAATCGGATGGAATCTGTGTGATTATTATCTACCTTATGCCGTAGGTGGAGGGTACGTCCTGTCCTTCAATCTCGTGAAGTTTATCGCCCAAAATGCTGATGTATTGAGGTAATTCATGAATACCGAGTAATTATTAATTTCATTATCCTAAAGAATGAAGAATTAGAGTAAATTATAAATAATGAAATAAATTCATTAGATTTTTTTGTTTGGATTTATTCAACTGGAAATCTTTTGAGAAAAATTCAAAATCAGAATAGAATCCGTAAATTTGTATTTATTTTATTGCTCCAGATTATTTAACTCTGAAGATGTTTCGATTGGCCTCTGGCTCTCACCCATCGCCAACATCGAGCGCAAACACGACGTTCGCTTCGATACCGAATACATGTCGAGGGGTTGCTCCAATCAATATATTGTGACGCACAAACAGGGCCCGGAAAATATGAAGGCCCTCCACGATTTTTACACCTCGACTGGCAACCTGTGCTCCAAGGAGACAAGAAGCAGAATGAGTTATCATTACAACTGGACTGTCCCACCTAGTCAATGCTGTAATCGTCAGGTCGGAGTCATCTGAATCCTGGGATTTTTGACTGGAGAGAGAATTCCTGTCATCTATCAAAATATTCATTCATCCGTCATTCAATCATGAAAATAATCCCAAAGATTGAGGAAATTTTTTGCAGCTAAAATCAATCATTTTTGAAATTTAGCGATATTTGAGAAATGATAATTAATGACTGGGTAAAGTTGTAGTGGAAGTTTATTCATCAATAATTAATTTACAACCAATGAATGAGTCAGTATTCTCCTCGCAATGGAAACAAAACTCGTTTGTTCGCAATGAATTGTTCACTTATGATACACTTTTTGGCTCACTGGAAATAATTGCTGATGTAACGATTCACATTCATAAAATATAAAAACAGTAATTAACTAATATAGATTAAAATCTATATCTCCATGATTTCGAGTATAGTTCATCTAATACTTGCCACATTGTATTCATTAAGAATTAATTATGGACTAATGTGGGTAAATCACAGATTTTCAAGAGCTGGCCAGTGATAGTATAAAAAATACCTTAATCCAGGAATTAGTGTGGGAATAAATACTTATGTGCAAGAGTTAAAAGATAAATTGATGAACGAAATATTAAATAAGGCCAGTTCTCAAAGTCCACGGCTCTGTGATAAACCGATAAAAGTGACTGGTCTGGCATTACATCGGGAATGAATATTGTGAAGGAATAAATAATTTTCTACGTCTAATGTGCATTATGCTTTTATCACACTGGATTGCACACGCGTTTCATTTCAGATGCAATGCAAGGACAGTCGATTAATTATTTAATTTTCTATTTTGTGAGATTAATCCTGGTTTCATGATTTACCATAAAACTCTGGGAAGATTCATCTCGATTTATCCTTCAGAAGGATCGCTGTGATTACCTCCAGACCATTGCTGAGCAATTTTTATTTTCTCTCCTGGTTATCCAGAGAGATTCATTTCTTCTTCCGATCTTGCGTGCACTTGGGACAATACCATTTACCCTTAGGCTTTGTCGTCAAACCCACACAGGAGAAGTGGAACCACTCGATTGGACACTGAAAATGAATAATACAATAATGGCTTTTTATACACATACACCAAAAAATAATGATAATTTATGCTTGAAGATTATTAAAGAAAACAATTGGGAGATTAATTTTGTTTCACTCACATCTGGATTATCACACCCAATCATCTCCCCGTAGGACACCTGATGACACAGACAATAAGTGGGTTCATTGGGATCGACTGGCATGTCCAGGACATCAGCAGGATGTCCAAGGGACGTGTTATCTGTCTGTGCTCCACTGCCAACAGCACCAATGGTAGCTGAAGCCACCAGAGAGCCTCCCTTCTTCTGTTTCTTCCTCGCAGTCTTGGACTCGTCCTCGCTGCTAGCACCAGCTGTTCCCTTCTTCCTCTTTTCCTTCTCCTTCAGCTTCTTTCTTCCCTTTTTACTGGCTCCACTCTCCTCCTGCACTCGATTGCTGCTCAACGCCTTATCCTGAATCTCCGCTTCAAATCTCGCGAGATCCGAGTCCAGTCGCCTGATGTGTTTGTCAACGAGCTCGTACGTCTGAATTGCCAGCTGAACCTTGTCATCGCCGTACTCTTTCGCCTTGTTGAATAAACTCTGGATGTGCATCAACTGCTCCTTCCTCTTCTCCGGGGACTCTTTCTTCAGGTTCTTCAGGTAATCGTCCGCTAGCTTGTCGATGTCCTTCATCAGACCCTGGGCTCGAGCGTCCAGATCCCTCATCAGGGTAAAATTTCGCTGCAGCTCGATAGGCAAATGCTCGAGACCTAATTTTAAAAATTCAATGAAGTCATTGAGTTGAAAAATTGTCGGGTCTCTCAAATCTTTCAAATATAAAACAAAATTCATTGTAGAAGAAAATATGAAGATTATTTTTTTGTCGAAAATTATAAAAGTAGGAAAATGTCAAGAAAATATTTCAATTTATGGAGTTTGTCGAACAATCCTAATTCTGGTCCCCGATAAAAATGGTTTAATTATGAAAAATAATTAAGCCAGAGGATGTGATTGGCTCCCACCGTCAGTCATTCAATGCTGATAAACAATGACCGATCAATGAAGCCTTTTGGCGCAATTTCCCTGATGCAGTGAAAATAGTGAGCATTGTTGCAATGAAATCTCCAAAACACTCATATACTCACTGTCCAAATAATGCTCCAGGTACAACGCAGTCGTCATTGTGGCAACTTTGTTTATTATTTTGTAATTATACGTGATTTTTTACACTGATGATCAGTCAGGTGGGTGAAACTTTATGGAGAACTTTGATTAAACAAGTTTTTTTGACGCAACATTGCTGGAATGCCTTTCCCCAGGGAATAATTGTCGAGAAGATGCACAACCCTAGGATTTTTTCCAGGGGAAGTCACAGCTGACGCCCTCTTCCGAGGGGGTTGCATCGGGGGGAGGGTAACAGTCGCCATTCATTCACTCGACAATTTTTTTTGGAGTATTTCGACGATAAATTCGTAGAATGCACATGCGAATTTTAAGAAATTTGGTTTACGGTGGTTGAATATTACTGGGATATGTCATTGATTTTGAGATTTTGAAGAGTTCATTTTTTTTTTATTATTATTTTCCAATTATATAAGTTCGTGTGATTCCAGATACGTTTTCAGAGGTTGGGTAATTGATGGGAGACATGGCTGATGACAAAATACTATTCGTAAGTTAATTCTCTGGTTTTTTAATCGTTTTGTTTGTATTGAGGATTTTTTCGACGTTTCAGACGATTTTTTTGGTGATCGGAAAATTGTTGAGAGAGTTGTAGACTTAACCTCCAAGAAAAGTATCTTCTGGACTTGAAGGCCAGTTTGGAGTTCTCGAATTTAATATGAATTAAATATTTTTATTGTACAGAATCTAAGAGATTGCGAATTATTCATAATGACTTATGAAAATTTGTTGTTGCTGTTATTTTGTTCCACAAAAAAGATTCTGACAAAAATTTCGAGATCTATCGTAGAATTAAAAATATTTCTGGAAGTCTTGACTGGAGAGCGAGTCGATTTTTTGGGCTTTACATCAGAATTTAATTCAATTGCAGGACTGGGGCAATGAAAAACTCCAGAGGGCTCAGAAGACCGTGGACGAATCGCCCTTCGACCTGGAGGCATGGAGCATCCTTATAAGAGAGGCTCAGAACAGACCAATTCCAGAAGTGAGACCTATATTCGAGAAACTCGTCACGGTTTTCCCCTCAGCTGGGAGATATTGGAAGATTTACATTGAGCAAGAGGTAATTATCACCCGCACAAAAAATTTTCACCGAGTAATTCGTTTATTGAGCCACAAGAAATCATTGAAATTTCAATTAACTATCGATTTATTTCTCTGATTATTCCAGATGAAAATGCGCAACTTTGAAAAAGTGGAGAAGGTATGTTAATTATCATATTATAATTACCAATGTAATTGGTGTTGCGTGTACAGATGACTCGTTGTTCAATCAGAGTTGAAATCATTTTCTAATGATGATTACTGTTTACCTCTCGATACTTGGAGAATTCGTCCAACTTTTATTGAACAAGGTACAGTGAAATATTCTAGGATATCCCAAATTAGTTGTAGATTCCACACAATGGAGTAACTCCAAAGATAATTACTAACAAAATGGTGCATCCATAACTATGTGATGAATATTTTTGACCACTTTACAGTCTTTGTAAGGTGAATAAAAACAATTTGACTTCATCAAAGAGCCACTTATTTCATTAATTGATTACTGTTTTCTCAAAACATTTGGGAGGTTCTTTTCCTGGAGATTTTGTCATTCGTCAAAATACAACTGGAGTTAAATGAAGGTTATTATTATTAATAAAATCCTCATGGAAGAGAACTTTCTGAATGCATACGCCTTATATTCCTTCCTGCAACTGGTTATGTGGACATTGTTGATATCTTTTCCGAGATAAATAATTGAGATCAAGATAGACATTGAAATTGTTGAGAAAAGGGATAGAAATTATTTGACGTTGAAAACTTGTCAGGTTTTCCAATTAAATGTCTAATTAAATCCACAACAACCGATTTTCACAACTCGAAATTATTCAGAGGTAGTATATTGTGACAGTTAAATCCTCACTTTATGCTGCCTCGTGTGGTTGTCTATTTTTTTAATTAAACAATGCAGTAGGGATCTCTGATCCCCAATCAGGTCACCCTCCCACCCCCACATTCACAAATAAAGAACAATTTTTTTTATTTCTGTGGGGCTCTTCATTCTCCGTCGATCGTAAATTATGTGTTTAATAAATTATTTATCAATGCTTCTTGTGGCATTATTATTTAACCTGCATCACCTCACGTATTGATTAGTATCAGGTACAAATGTATGCGAATTATTATGATGAATAAATTATTGATGAATTTCTGCTTTCTTCTTTTGAACTATTCTGTGATTACGATTTGTAATCTTGAACTTGCCTCTGGTAAGTAAGGGATTATTGTAATGAGTGGTTACTGTGGCAATCAGACCCACGACGAGAGATTAATTATTTCGGCAAATTAATCCAATGATGTTGTACCGTGTTATTTTCTGTTGTGACAGCTTTTCCAAAGGTGCCTCATGAAAATTCTCAATATTGAATTGTGGAAATTGTATCTGTCGTACGTTAAAGAAACCAAGTCCAGTTTGGCCACGTACAAGTAAGTGTTCTGGGTGATTAATAAAATATCATTCAGCAGCGAAGGCTTTAAATAAAATGTGCAATAAATAAAATTTTCCATGTTCTTCGATTACCGATTTCCTCCTATAATATTCATTTCAGGTGAAAAAGTTGAGGAAATTTTTTTCTAACTGATTAAATCCGCAATAGATAATTTAATTTTTCATTTTTTCATATTTCTTCTCAAATAGGTTTTTCTAGATAAATCGATATAATCTCACCCCTTCGCTGCTGCATGGAATAATTTAAATGAGATAATGAGGTAATTTGTAATTTTAGGGAGAAAATGGCTCAGGCGTATGATTTTGCGCTAGACAAAATTGGAATGGACATTCACTCGTACAGTATTTGGAATGATTATGTTTCATTTTTGAAAAGTGTCGAGGCTGTGGGCTCTTATGCTGAGAATCAAAAAATCAGTGCAGTGCGAAAGGTAGGGCAATCACTCATTGCAGTAGTAATTCCATGATTAATTACTTGGTTTTCGCAGGTGTATCAGCGTGGTGTTATAAATCCTATGGTTAATATGGAACAATTGTGGAAGGACTACATGGCGTTTGAACAAAATATCAATCCAATAATCGCTGAGAAAATGGCGATAGAAAGATCTCGGGATTACATGAATGCCAGACGTGTTGCTAAGGAGTTGGAAGCTGTCACAAGGGGACTCAACAGGAGTGCACCCAGTGTTCCACCGACTGGTCATCCCGAAGAAGTTAAACAAGTAATTGAAACGATGACATTCGCATATCGAAGTTAATAAAGGAGCGATCAATAATTTTTCCCGTTTGTCATGTCCAAAAATGAAATTTTTTCAACCCGTTGATGGAATTCTTCACAAAATATGATTTGTCATTTTTTCCAGGTCTCCAAAGAACTGATCTCAGATTTTTTTTAATCCCAATAATAAAACATTAAATGTCGAAGAATATTTTTTCAAACAAATACCAAGGAAAAATCACCAAAATACTTGTAATTTACTGTAATCCAGAATTTTCCCTTTTATTCCGATTCTCTCGTTCTTATTCTTACGATTTTTGTAGTGAAGTGGTAAATTACGATAAGTACAATTTTCATGGGAATACCATTTTTCATTTCAAGATATTCCCTAAGAACCGGCCTCGAGAAAAATTCACTTGTCTCAATTAGAATGATTTTTAATGAGAATTGATTTTTGATGTTCCATCATTTTTGAGTTATGCGGGAAATGAAAAGGGAGGGCTGTGATTTTACAGGTGGAACTGTGGAAAAAATACATCGCCTGGGAGCGGAGTAATCCGTTGAGAACAGAGGACACATCCCTAGTGGCAAAAAGAGTAATGTTTGCGATAGAGCAATGTCTTCTGTGCCTGGGACATCACCCAGCTGTTTGGCACCAGGCAGCGCACTTCCTGGAGCTCTCCTCAAAAATTCTGACGGAGAAGGGAGACGTGAATGCATCGAAGAACTTGAGTGACGAGGCAGCGACGATGTTCGAGCGTGCCACCAGCACTCTCCTGGCTAAAAATATGCTCCTCTACTTTGCGCACGCCGATTTCGAGGAGGGACGAGTCAAGTACGAGAAAGTCCACCAGATTTACCAGAAATTTCTCGATATATCGGACATCGATCCCACCCTGGCTTATGTCCAGTACATGAAATTTGCCAGGAGAGCCGAGGGAATAAAATCAGCTCGAACAGTTTTCAAACGTGCAAGAGAAGACACACGCTGCAGACATCACGTGTACGTAGCAGCTGCACTGATGGAGTACTACTGCACCAAAGACAAGAACATTGCGTTTCGTATTTTTGAACTTGGCTTGAAAAAATTCGCGGACAATCCCGAGTACATTCTCTGTTACATTGATTATCTGTCACATCTCAATGAGGATAATAATACGAGAGTCTTGTTCGAACGTGTGCTATCGTCTGGGAGTTTGGAGCCTGAGAAATCGGTGGACATTTGGAATCGATTTCTCGAGTTCGAATCGAATATCGGAGATCTCGCTAGTATTGTCAAAGTGGAGAAACGAAGAAGTGCTGTTTTGGAGAAGATCAAGGAGTTCGAGGGAAAAGAGACTGCTCAACTAGTCGACAGATATAAATTTTTGGATTTATATCCTTGCTCAGCAGTGGAATTGAAATCAATAGGTTATATCGATGTTTCGAGTATAGGTAGGAGCACTCAGGGTGTATCACCACGTAACCAGGACACTGAGGAAGTTATAGCAGCATTGCCAAGGCCTGATCTCTCGCAGATGATTCCATTCAAGCCAAAAGTCAATCCACTGCCTGGAGAGCACCCCGTACCAGGTGAATATATTAATTATCAATTTTTTATTTTCACTGTAGAAATTATTTTCATTTAAGTGTCAGGTGAGGCGATAAAATTGAATGACTGAGAGAAAATGTAATCATCATAGGGCATTTATTCATTATTACAGCGAACTATTAATTATTTATTTTATTCCAACTCAATTTATTGATGTTTCGATCAATTCCCCATAATTTACAGGGGGATCATTTCCATTGCCACCTGCAGCAGCACAACTGTGCACCATGTTGCCCCCTCCAGGTTGTTTCAGAGGGCCATTTGTTGCGGTTGATTTGCTAATGGATGTGTTCAGTAGGATACAGCTGCCCGATCACGGTGAGACTCAAATTATCCAGGAGATAAATTACTTTCCTCATTTTATTGGCCACAAAAAATATCCACACGTGAAAATATTTATATCGATTCCGTAGTAAAAAGTCCCATTCGCTCGGCAGGAGTAATTCCTTTTCTCCGTGAAGACCAAGTGATTGTAAAAAATTCACGAATTATCTTTGATCCTTTACTCCAATGAATTTAGCTCCTCTACCTGTTGCTGATAATGGCTGCGACACGAAGCTGTTCGATCTGGCTAAATCCGTTCACTGGATCGTGGACGAGAGTAATGACGGTTCATCTATTGGCTCGAAACGGCGAAGGACACGTCTCGGAGGTGAAGACAGTGAGGATGAGGATCTACCACCACCACCTGTCAACGATATTTATAGACAGAGGCAGCAGAAACGTGTGAAATAGAACTGGTGTCTCAATCCTTGATCAGTTATTGATCGAGATCCTAGGAGAAAACTGTTGTCCTGGTGTTCAATATCTAAGTAGATTTATTACCACTGGAGAGGGTGTTTATTGCACTGATAACTGAGTGCCATGTACTCAATGCATTTATCGATAACGTGGAAATATTTTTTAACAGAAAAATTACCATCGAAATTGAAATTTAATCCAACAGTGGAGTTGTGAGGAACATTCCTTCGCAATATCATTTGTCTTCGTTAATTTGACATTTATCATGTTGAAAATTCAATCTCTAACTTCACTGATGGATTTTATTCCCCGGAAGACCTGAAAGTAATAATTCCAATTGTAACTTTTTCATTATCCATCGTACATTTGGTGTAAATATTTCTAATCGCAGAATCGTCAGGTCAATATTATTGTATATATCGCTTGAATTTTTCCATCAACTTGTATTATCCATTGAATTCCGTACCCTTGATTAATTGAATAAAGTCTCTGGAGGAACCGTGAGTTGTTCATATTCCTGGATAACCCATCGTTAGAATCGACGAATGCAAATTGGTGCCACCAAATCCAACACGTAGGCAACTAATGTGTTCTACTGAAGTGATTGCGGTTGGGGGAAAAGGGAGAGGACAAGTAGAAGTTTGCTGGCAATTATAACCATCGGATAAGGGTACAATTAAACTTTGAACAGCCATCGATGGAGGTGCAATTGTTCTAAGAGAGTTTGGGATATCGATTCACCGTGGAATAAGTTGGTTGTCGTTTTAAATTCGTTAAATTTTCCCCTCGGTTTTAAAGTCATATCAATTATCTTAATTTTTGATAATTCCGAGTTGATAAGAAGTTGGATAAAAAATGCTGAAATATTCACAGGCACTGCACGACCGTTTGTTTAATTAACATTGAGTCTCCAAATGAGATTTGTTATTCAAACTTCGATGTCTGTTGCCTATAAAAAAATGTCGGGTCTTGAATAATTTAATTTGTATTCGTGTAACGAGTTCGGTTATGTCTCGGGATATTTGAAATTTCCGACGTTAGGTTTAAATAATTTAATCGAACATATCTTGGAGGAGACGCTCATCAGATTTTGATGTGAAGGGAGTAAAATTAATCCGGTATGAATGAATAATTTCTACATATGGGTATTTCTGATAAGAATACCTCCTGATAACGCTTAACAGGAGTACAATCCAGCAAGTTGGAAGCCTGACAGACTCCACTGACATCGTGTTAATTATAATCCCATCCCTACATGTCTCAAAACTCCACCACAAAGTAGTCAAACTGCATCACTAACTTTCGAATTAATTATTATCTGTGGAAAACCTTATTTTGACAGTTAATTTTGAGTGAAAATTCGTCCGGTTATGTAATCCTCACATCCCCTTCTTTGAGAAAAAAGAGAAAATGGAGACAGAAGTCTTCGTCGATATTTCAGAACAGGGGGGATTTTAATATCCGGTTCAACAATTTTCATTAAAAAGTTTTAACCCCCACTGTATCGATACGTGAGACTGCCCAGAGCTCAGTGAAAAAATGAAAAAGGGAGAAATTAGTTATCGTTGGCAGAGAAGAATATCCTACTGCTTTATATTAAATTTCGAGCGATACGCGAAGACGTGATGAATAAAAATAACGATAAAAATTTGGGGAGATAATTAAACCGTTTTCTGGGAATAGGTGGAGGAAAAAAATACACAAACGCCGAATTTATTCATTATAACAAGTCATTTAATCATCGGAAAATTCTCACTATACAAAACAAGAGTCTTTTTGATTGTCTCACCAAACGTATAAAAATATTTTCTAAAATTAAATTAACAAGAGAGGCTCACTTCCTCTTTTTCATTTCCCTCTGCTTCCTCTTCATCTCGCGTTTGATTTCCTTGTCGACGAGACTCTTGTATAGCTTGTACCCGAAGAATCCTGAAAAAAAAATCCCTCTCATTACCAAGGACTCTTCTAAAAAAAATCACCAAATATCACCTCAATAAAATCTAGTATTCAATTTAAATAATGACAAATGAAATTCAATCGCCGGTGAGTTGACCTAAAATTTAATGAAACAATCCCTGAAAATTCCTTGAATTTCCAAGAGAATGCCATATGCTGGGAGTAGACTAACCGAAAATCAGTGCCAGAACACTGAGCAGAGAGAGAAGCACCAGTGCCTGATAGAGGAATCCAGATCCAGATCCCTTGACGACATCATCAAGACTCTCTGCACTTTTCATTATATTCTCCCGAATATTCTGTTTCTCCTCTTCAGACAGGTCCATCGAGTCCAGCATCTTGAGGAGTTCCCCAGGAGTCGGCAGCTTTTTATCGATCCCCGGGATATTGACGTCAATATTTTCACTAGGATCTACCTCAACACTGGCGTCATCAACGTCAGAATCTGCTGAGGCAGGGGCCAGGGCCAGGGCTAGGGCTAGGATCATCCACAGGGCTCGCCACATCTTATAGATCAACAATGACAAGTTGCCGGTGTGAAACTACGGATTTTTAATTCACAAATTAATGAAATACCTCGGGGTATGTTGGATTTTGTACCTCTGGGGAATGTTACACGTCAGCGTTCAAGTTGTGACTGGCGGACACGCTGTGAGACTACGCAACTTCCACCACGTATGAGACACTCGACGAGGGGATAGACCGATGGAGAAACCGTTTTATCAGAGATAAGTCTCAATTGGTGGGGAGAATTATGAGGGGACCCTTGAATTTCGGTTTTACGTCATTGTTTTTGACAATCATTTTTTCATTCGAGTGAAATTCAGAGATATTACAATAATAATATTCATTACAATAACAAATAAAAATAATAACAAGTTACACGAGGATAATTTAATTATATATGCATTTATCCGAGCTGAACTCTAATATTGATGAAAAGGTAAAAATTAATAGTTAACTATGTGTCGAAAATAAGTAACGAGATATTCCGCCATAAAATCGATTATATTTCATAATTCGAGATTTAATATACTTTGTTATTAACAAATATATGGGAAACAAATTTTATTGTATAACTCAATCCATTAGAATTCCTCAAAAATATGTAAATAAATTTTGAGTTACAAAGAATGCACGTCTCGGCAGCAAAAATTCGAACCTTAATGTTATCCCGACATTTTTAATCTAAAAATATCTCAAGTATATTATGTGTGAAAAAATAAATAATATTGATCACAACATGTCGGTTGATCATAAGCAACAGGTGGATTAGATCGGGACGAACAGAGAAATTAAACACAATGAGGGAATTCAATAAAATCGTCAACAATACCGTATTTCTGGTAGTAAGGTTCGAATAGATTATTCAAGAAAAATAACGATCGACACGTCAACAGTGAAAATAAATATCAACTTGGACGATCCAGGGGGCAGTTAAGTATCGATAATCGCAACGGAACGATTAGGGGAGGGGAGGAAGGATCATCGGCCGCGTTCGCTTGCTCGGTAATCCTCGGGTGGCGCGACGAACTGTCACGAAGCCGCTCGAAAGCAAAACGCGCGGCAGACAGTGTTCGCGCGTCGACCTATCGAGACGGTTATCAAGCGGCTAAGTTGACTGATTTTTTTTATTCGACAATAATTTTCAACGTTTCTAACGTGTCGTTATCGTACAATTTAATTACTGTGTGAAACAAGTTTTTTTTTACGTTGAACGCGTCGTGATATCGCCCACTTGTGGGTTTGATTTTCCTTTGTTTGGAAGCGAGTACGAGTTTCCGCGGTATTTGTGTGCAATTTTTGGTTTAGTATTCTGGAGATTGAAGTGATTTTGTTAGTGAAGTGAGGAAAATATGGAACGACTCAGGGGAAACGCCAAGATGATCCTGTGGAGCTGCTTCTTCGTCGTTGTCGCTGTTTCTGCACAAGGTAAGCCTTTTTTTATTGTTGTTGTTTTTTCATTTTTTTTCGTAATGGCGCTCGGCGGGAGGAGTGACTTGGGAAAATAGGGCTTGGGGGGAGAGGGAAAAAGGAAAATAATGCGATGTAATGAAGGGTTGGAGGTCGAACTCGACGACCGGTGTTTCGGCATTTGTTTTTTACTGAAATGGTGATGCCATGTTGGCGATCGATAATTGGAAAAAGTGGTTTTGTAGACTGGCGAGAGAGGAATTGAGGAATTGCGAAGAGGTTCTGTAGGTAGGGATTTTGTTATTCCTAATGGAAATTTACGTTTGGAATTCCAACGTCGGATTATCGGAGGTCTTGACAGTTATGGAGTTTATTTCGGGAGTAAATCGAAAAGGAATTAACGTGTGATATTTCTGAAAGATATGGACTTGAAATTTCAGGGAGTGGAGGTATCTATTGGGATTTTCACTCAAGATAAAATATTGTCGATTATATCGGCATCTGTTTTCTCTTTTATTTTTTCTGTTAATGGAGGAATGAAGTGAGCACAACATGTAATTTACTATGACCTGAATAACGAATGATAATGATTTATGTCGCACCGAAAATTCAGCAATCATTTCACGTGGATAATTGACGGGAGAAGGAAAATACTGGATAGAATCTCCATATTAATTTTATCTGGGCAATTCTAAGCGCATGACAGTCTCTGTTACGGTGATTATCGTGGATAATGACGTGTTGTCTATTGAAATCATTGATATGAAAACTGGTAATTAACTGACGTATTTCGATAGGAATAACACGGACTCTTAGCCGCTCCCATCTACAGTATTGGGGACTAATCAATAGTTTATTGTTTTAGTTAATGAGCTGATTCATCGGGAATCGTGTTTCTCGTCGTTATTGTGACGAAGATATTCTTGTCGTGAGAATTTTCATTTTTATGGCGAATAATCTCGATGAACGGTATTTGTTAAATCAGTGAGTGTAACAGCTGTCCTACTAAATAACTGGGATGTTTTAACTCGGGAAAATTAGTCGGTGGGTATTCTCTGTGAAACTCTCAATTGTCTCGGTATCGTTAAAAAATTCAACGGCGACAGGTGTAATTACTCAATTGTTATCCGTGCGTAATTTTCGATAATTTTTTTCATTGATGAATTCATTCACTTTGGGTTTTTTTTTCGTGGGGGAAAATAATTGCTCGTTTACAAGGACTTGGGGAGAGTATCGAAACAATGAAATCTCAGGAAATTGTCGAAAGTACTGATCATTTCAGTTGGTGATTAAAATATATTTAAAATACTGAGACTGCGCTGGAGAGAAACTCGAGGGTAACTAATTGAGGAGGTAAACCAGGGGAAATTAATTAGCTGGAAGTTATTCGACTTTTGTCGAAGAGGCCGAGGTAATTAAATGATAGTAAATTCTTCGGTTGAGGATCAGCGATTGCCACAGTTTGTGGGCATTTCTCCTGGAAATTACTTTGCTAGGCGGAAATTTTTCGGATTTTTTGCTGTCCTGTGGTGGTTAATTTACTAAGTAACTTGGGGTTACATTTACGTTCTCCTTTCGCTTTGCGAGGGGACAAAGTTTTATTCAAGTTGCATATTCACCTTGAGTGTCTCTCACGGTAGAGTGAAGACGTGGATAAGTATGAGGGGGTGATGCAACGCCTGGGAGAATTTTTCAATGTTCACTCGAAGTTGTTTTATTTCGTTGGAGAGGGAAAAAAAATGTTATAGTCAGTCGTGATGAGACATCAATGGACCTCTCGAATACGTAATAACACTCGTTGATTCATTTTTAAGTGACACATCACGTGAATCAATTGGGATGAGTCGCGATTGTTACGAGGAATATTAACAATATAATTGGAAATTTTTGCGGAAGTGTTGAGGTTTTTCACTGAGAAAAAAAGCTAGCTCCCGAGAATTTTTTCATATCATTTACCCTATGGACTTGCAACCAATGGATTGAGCAATCCCTCATTAGTTTATCTATTTCAATATTTATTATCAGACATTTCAATTAGGATCAACAAAAAATCGAATAGCCTCCCACAAAGAATGACGAATAACTCCACATCGATCAATAGTAGAGGAAAACAAAAATGAACAATTTCATATTCAACAAAGGGACCAGCCGAAAAAAAAAATTCCATTATCAATTCTTCCATTTCCAACTCAACAGATGAATAATTTTGTTGAAACTTCCATTCACCTGGTTTTTACGGTCGGAGCAATATCCCGGAAATTCAAAATAAAAACCCAATCTACGGTTTCATTGGTGGACCAACGGTTTCCCCATAATATTTCGTTGCCTTTTGTCCATTCAGTATGAGCGTCCCTTCAATTTAACCGTACTTCATGTCAAGTGCAGCAATATCCCCTCCCCCAGCCATCCCCCCCCCCGACTTGCCGATGAATCCACATCCCCCTGGCACCCCCTGTTGTATTTTCTCCACTAAAACACGAAAACTGAAAGAGACTACCACAAGACGATTGTACAAAGAGACGAGGTGGGTGGAAAGAGGGAGGATATAAGTACAACGGGTATGACGTGGCAAGAGGCGAAGGTATAGCCGATGGTGGAAGCCTTGAGGAGAAAGGAAAGCAGAATAGGCCGTGTCCAACGGCTAAGACGAAGAGAGATGAAGGTTCTTGGTTTTGCCCTGGCCAGTTTTCAACCTTCCACCGGCAGCTCTCGGTCAATGACCGTGGCTTTTGTGTTACGCTCAGGGACTTATCTTCGTTTTCTCACTCGAAAAGGATTCCTCATCTTATTCATCCTGTCGATATCGATATTCCGTGATTTCCCTTTGTTCTGGAGGAATATTTCAATATTCAGCCGTCAGGTTATGGGGCGATAGCTCGTTCAGTGTTTTAGTTTTGGAAAAAGTAAAGAAAAAAATCAACTCGGTCTAGGGGAGGATTTTTTATTTTCGGGCGAGGAAAATAACATTTTTCCGAAACGCAATGTACTTTTTTTTGTCGTATAGATAATTTTGATCTTATAAATGACAGGCTTGGAAAATTGAATTTTTAGATAAATTATTATTCAGCGACAGATTGAGGCAAGTAGAATTATCGGAGCAAGGACCGCCTCGAGGTTGTTAACTACTCGCGATAAATCCAATTGAGACCGATAAATAACGAGTCAAATTCGCCATAAAATCCCAAGTGTATTTTCCATGACCCCAAGACCCAGTTTCTCCCAAACAAAATTGAACAACTCCGGGTCACTCCGTTCTAACTCAAAAAAAAAATTGTCCGGTACCCAAATACATCCATTACAAATGACTGACAATAACCGGAATAATATCTTATCTCCAGTACAATTGAACGCACAAATTGCACACTTTCAACACGTAGTAGTACTCAATTTCGACACAATAAAAATAATGGAGACCTTCCCGATAAAATAATTCACCGTGGGAAGCTCAGCAGTCGATCCATTCGTTATTACACGTATGAAATCGATCGTCCGATACACACGACAGGTCGACATTCTCACCCCCTAATCACCCCTCACTCCCCCTAACCATCCACTCAACCCCCCACCGCATGCGGCTCAACATGTAATAATTACAGCTCTGTACGCACATGCATAATATACACACAACTAATACCACCTCAGATGCAACCTGCAGCTGTTTAAACGTGTATGCATTACACATGTGTATATTAGGGTACGTTGAGAGGAGGGGGGAGGGTAATTAGGTCGCAGGTATGGTTACACTCACTTGCGATATCCGACCAGAGACGCCCCGACATTCTTTGCCAAGTGCGATTTAGCGATTGAGATAAACGCAGGGAAAAGATATGTTTTATTTTTCTTCGACTTGTTACAAATTTTTGGAAATTCATAATTGAAAAAATTCGTAGACAGCGAAATTTTCGGGGGAATATTTTTTGCGGAGGAAAAGGAAATCTACGAAAAAGATTTTTACAAGAATTTTGGTATCGGATCGGGAGATAATTGTCGATACCTTGAGGATTAGTCATCGACTTACGCTATCTCTTGGTTACGGAATTCAGATTTGATTTTTTAATTAATTGCAAAAAAAAGAACATTAATTAATTAAATGATTAAATCACTCAGCTGTAATTCAGGTGTATAACGAGAGCTGTTGATTAAATTAAATGAATAATTAATCTTTGATTTTCATCGCAGTGACTTGCTGCGTGAATTTTCCCAATTTTCCATGAATTTCTGTTATTAAATGGTTTCATTTTATCTATTGATATAAATGGAGTAAATGTAAACTATTTGTCCGAGAAAAACAGAGGTGCAATGGGATTTTGAGTCTCGCCAATAAAACGTTCAACTAAAAACATAAAGTTTGAATGGTGTACCAGTCACTGGGGCATGAATCCCTCGTTCCACGTATTTCAATTACTAGCTTTAAATCGAAAACCTAGTCTCCGACAAAATAAACTCGACAGTTAATTCCTGACCCTCAACGGGATTATTACGTTCTCATTCTGACCTCATCAGATAATTTCTCGTCGTTCGTTTACAGTTCATTCGATTCTGTTTTCATTTCCCTCTTTCTGTCGTCGGATCCTATATTTTTCTTGTTCCCGTACTTGAATTCCAACTTCAACATTCACTTATTATTCTCATCGGTATGCAGTGATCTGGATGAAAAAGCCAATTCAATCCAGTTGTGTCTCGTTGGAATAGTCCCTTAATCCGGAGTAAATAGCAAGAAGTAAATAACTCTCACTGAATAAAAAGTATCGCTTGAGTTTGTATTGAATTCAGTCAATGGTTTTTCTTTCATCTGCTGTTCATTATGAATCGATGGAGATAGTTGGAATAGATGGGTACAACTTCCTCCTCTGAGATGAAATGCTCCGGAATAATTAGGAAAACTGGAAAATGTATAGCACCTGTTCGGTCATGAGGGTCGGGATGGGACCAATTATATCGTACCCGGAAATTTAAGAAGGTTTTAAGGGGGATTTTGAGGGCAACGAAACACACCTGACACTGGCCAATACCCGGGT